CAGCGGACTTTTGAGAAAGGAACATCGAAGGCATCAACAATCATGAAGGAAGCTCATAATGAAACACTTGGTCGTGCAGTTTTCGGTCCACTTTTTTCTTTATTTTTTCTTTTCTATTTGGGTAACTATCTGTACAAAAGGTAAACTAGCAAGGTCCACAGTTGCGAGAATCTAACCAATTTTCCGAAACTCCTTCAAGATTGTGTTCAGCGATAGAACTGCTATTTTGGTCGCTTCTAGTATTGCGTTCGACTATGGACGCAGATCTCACTTTTCGGGATAGATATGGGCAGAACTTATTAAAAATATGACCACACAATTACTAAATAGATTGGGCATTTAATATAGTGAGTGAACCAACACAATAATGGTCGTGGCTTGGGAAGTAGTAGCAAGTGACTCGGCTTACGACATGTACGGGGAGGAAATAGAGCCCCAAATGGATCTTGCCCAGGCATTTGGGCGTCTTCGAGGTTCGGATTGGGTAGTTGGTACAGTCTCATTTGGAGGAATGTCCATCGGCTCACATCTACAAGCCATTGTAAGCACATGATCGCTTCAAATGCCATTACGATTCTGAATAGGAACATAACGTGCGGCGCATTACAAAAAAGCCTAAAGCCTTATTCTTTAACCTTTCTTATGGCATTAGTAAAACGAGCTGTACACTGTGGCCAGGATTTTGGTGCAGTAAGCTTGGAAACCGAATGTAAGGCACGTTTCAGCAATATGTATTCTTTGGATAAAGAGGTATGGATGTTTACCCCTTCCTCTCCCTCCCCTCCTGACAATTTCCTGTGTACACCTTTCCTCTCGTTCTGGTACAGTGCTATTTGAAAGTACCATCCGAGTTACCCTTTGGAGCTTTTGTCCAAAGAACTGGTCAACTAATGAAAATGCAGTGGAGGCTTTCCTCTGTAGTGTGCCAGACTACAGACCCTCTGCTTCCGAAAAGCAGATGCGCGTCAGACCACATGCAACAGGTGACGACGGCTTCCAAGTAAATCTGGTAGCTAGTGATTCATAGTGATAGCTGATAGTTGGTAAATGATAGTTGTTAGTGACAACTGATAGAATACAACTGCAACAGGCTAATCATTTCATTGGCAGAAAACATTTACATTTTGTGGAGGCCGTCGTCACTTGTGGTGTGTGGTCTGCACCCGACGCTTCTGGTTCCGGAAACAGTACCCCCACGCACCAATGGCCTGGCAGTAGAGGTTCAAGACAACATAATCGTTCTTTGTGCAAATTACTATATCTACAATAATTTTTAGTAAATAGCTATATGAATGCTTCCAGCAGAAGAATGGTACAGATTCTTAGAGATTTATATTCAGAAATCAAAGCAATAATACTTTTGCAGGGAGGCAATTCTTTAGCAGGGCAATGACATAAGCCCTCTATATCTGCTAATAAGAACGTAGCGAAAATTCACAGATAAAAACGAAGTAGGCGATATTCGTTAAAAATCAATAATATGGTTTAGATACATATGTTTAGATACTATTGAAAAAACACTGAGAATGCATGAAAAACTCGAGATATTTACAATGACTGAATAGCTGGAAACCATTGAATTTCCGCTACAATGGCAAAACTGCTGTAGAACAAGCAAAACATCTTTAGAGCTCTAAGTATACTGCTTTACGGGTTGAATAAGGCTGTGTTCGGTGTTACAAATCCGATATAGGTGCTTCAGAACCGGAACGTCTCCAGGCTAGATGACATTTCTCGCAGAGAAGATGCTTTCCGAGCGGATAGCAGCACGCATCTCCCTTCGTCGGTCAGCTTCAGACCACAACCCTGGAAACGGCTGTCTGATTAAAAAAGTTGAAACATATCTCGCTCTAGGAGACTTCTTTCACAACCGTGACTTCAGGGAAAAAATACAGAACTCAGAAAATATTATTTTGGCTTGGTGATGCAGAAATACGAAAATAGAAATCGGTGACGAAAAACAGCATTGTGCTGAATAAAAATGCGCAATGAAAAATAAGCATAAGCTTGCGACAAATCTCTTTTTAGATGCACGACGACATTCCTCACAACGAGTATCGTAAACGAGCTTTGAACGTCTGGGTGGTTTACAAAGAGGGGTTCGAGATCACCCAATGTCAACCAGTCGATTTTGTTTTGCTCCGTGCCGGCTAGCTGATTAGGCAGTCAGGAATACGAAGTTATACGAGTTGTTCCAATTCTAGAAATTTTGAGGCTCCCTCTTGACGCGTTTCGCAATACGATCCCTCACCACCACCATCAGCCATAGGGAAGACCCTCAATACGGACGTTGCAGCTCCCCACCGTCAACCTCACGCCCTGGCTGTTTCTTTAGTGGTTGGATTGCAACCACTCCTGCTTATCTTTTTTTCAAATTTTTACCGAAACTATTCAAAAAACAATCTAGAAACCAGCCATCACCACAATCCATCGAACTTATACAACCTCCCCCTTTTAGAACCTTTTGACCTTCACCGACTCCCCATCCAAAAAAAATTTCAAGTATGATCCCCGAAAATACGCTACGCACGGTTGACCCTGACAGCAATTAGCTGTCGCCGGAGGAATGAAATGTTCGAATGATACAGATGAGATTCAGGCCAGGGCTTGACGTCTGATGAATATAAAAGCCAAGAATAAGCAAAACGGAAACCAAATTTCCAAGACAGTAGGTGGAAGAAGTCTGGGCGATGAATGGAGAGAAAACATTTAGTAAGGGCTAGTTGACGGAAGATGACAACGAGAGTTAAGTGACAGAACAAGGGGAAAAGGGAAGAAGTAAAGGAATGGAAACTCATTGCCAAGTAAGAAATGTGTCTCGGCAGCATTGCTGAAGAACAATTTGGGATCAACTTAATTGAAGTCCCGGAAAAAAAGATATGCATAGGGGGTGTTCAAAGTGGTCATATTAGCGGCACAGGCGGCAATTTTAACAATTTTTTCAGGGAAAAAAAATCTAGGTGTAACTCAGGTTGGAAGGGGCGGACCGCGAAGTGGCGCGGCACTTCCTGTTTTTCTGCCACCACTAGGCTCGGATTCATAGGAAGCGCACTAATTTGTCGCACTGTGGCAGTTATCGAGTACGAGTGTGCCACGCCCATGTAATAAGGGCAAGCCTAACAGGTGCAAAAGAATAAGAGCGTCGCGCGCGCGCCGGTAGATCCCTCAGCTGAGCAAGCATTCAAATTTTTCTTGTCTATTGTCAGTCGTATAGAATAAATATCAAATTCGAAGTCAAATCGTACCTCACAGGAATAGCAGTCCACATGATAGTTGTTGTCCAATGCCACGATCCGCACCGTTTCACCAGTATTCTAAAGCAGGGAAGTCTTTAGTTATTAGTGTTTTATTTGGTTATTTCATCGTATAGTATAAAAATGAAAAATGTTGACCTCATCGGGTAGAATTGTGTTTTTACATCGATGGCAGCGCGGTGCAAAGCGCTCGTGGTAATCCGGTAAGCAGTACACCTTGAAAACTTGCAATAATACGGAGTAATACGAACTGTTGCGGAATCGCGTGGCCTATAGGCGTAATGACATGGCGCAAGCGAAGAAGGGAGCGGTCCATTTATAACAACAAATTCAGTCCAAGCTTATTATTGGAGTATGTAAGCTTCGGCGTTTTAAACTGAGGAACGGGCGAGATTCAAAGTATTTTTGCAAACATTCTAGGGCGAGCTGCTGAAAACAAGAGGGCTCCTACTGTCAGTGCTCATTTAGAGAATGGTGGAATTAGGAGCGGGGTAAGCCACTCTGTACATGCGGTCTACCTCTAATAAGGGGAAGAGCTTTTAGGTGAGCATGTCAGCAACTTTAGTTCTTCTGGAAGTTTCTCCCCTCTCTTGAGCTTAGTCTAATGTCACCTATCAGCTGTTTTTGAAGGCCCTGTTTTCGCTGTGTCCCCCTTCTTAAGGACATGAGCGCCGCTGCTGTTTTCCTTGGGTTACGCTAGACCCTGAAAGAGAATGCTCCCTACCAGGACCCAGGATTCTTGGACCCGAATGAAAGTAGGAATATCAGCAAGTACACGTTTTGCGAACGTCTGGACGCAGTACAGGACCAGACATTGATGGAAAATCCAGTGCATCAGGTCATCCAAATGAGTTACCTGATTGTTTTTGTCGAGGGCGAACTGAACGCCATCCAGGCACATTCCGCACGCAGTGCAAGTGAAGCATGCTGGATGATAGTTTCGATTGAGTGCTGACAGAACGCTGAACAGAAAGAGAAATGCAGTGAGAATGTTCACAGGGCGATGATGACTAGGAAATATTACAGAATAAAATGGAATAAAAAATAATAGTAAAATAAAGACATTAACTAAAATAAATAATATAAAATATCCACCATTTCCTGAATTGGTTGCTTGCATTCGGCACATCGTGTCACCTTGCGCTCCATATTGTACAGGTAATCTTGTTTACAGTAAAACCGGCCGTCACTGAGGTAGAACTGCTGTTCCCTGAAAGCATGAGCGATTTGATGGAAACCTTGAAGCATTCAAAAAATGGCGACCAGGGAACTGTTGATTCCGAATCCCATCCCGTCCAGTTTCAGAAGCAATGTGCTCCTTCGGTCTACTTCCCAGGAGCTGAAAATTGAGCTGTTAGAACAGCTCCAACCAGGGTAGCCGTCACGTTGAGAGAATTTCAAAAACTTACGACCCATTTAGGACAGACCCGATAAAACTCGCCCTATGAAGCCGCAGTGGAGAGAACCATAGTATACAAATACGATCCCTTCTCACACCTCCAACACCACCATGGCTGATTCCATAGTTGCTGATTCTCAGCGATAAGCGTACTCCAACCACGCCCAGAATATCCCTCTAAAGCTGCCATCGAGCAGGAATGGGGGAGGGCGCATATAGCTCAAAGCAACAACCAAAGATCAAATTGGAGGTATAGCAGCTGTTAATAACGAAATCGTGTATGTTGAGTTGAGTGAAAATGGATGCAAAGCAAATCGCCAATAAACACGAACGAGGACCCCTTTTCCCCCTTGAAACGAGAGAGGGAAGTGTACGGACGAGTTGTCTGAACTTGGTTGCCCAACGGCTTCACTAACTCGCCCGTATTTGAATTACCCGCTACGTCGTAACAGGGCGTGCGCGAGGTATCTCGTCCATGGGTTCACATTAGCGTCATTAGATCACTTTTCAAGGCCCAAACGCCACTGCGCGCACTTTCGAGTCGCAACAACGGCACGACTGTGATACTCGCGGGCTACTCTATCCTTCCCACAGATAGACTATTCGACAAGACTTTATGCGGAGTTGTTCCTTCAAGAAACGGCAAAATATCTCATCTCAAATACGAACCCATTGCAAAAATCCCAAACACAACTCCTGGTAAGCTACTAGCGAACGGTTTACCCTGGCTCTAAATGAGTGCAGCAAGCTTTGATGCGCGTGGACCCGGAGCGTCCATTTTCGGGCTACCTTGGAAAATAAATGTCGTTCGCTGTTCAATTTCCTATTTTCCAGCCTATTCGTGCACTTACTATCGCCAGCTAATATTTAAGGTTTTTTCGAGTATACACATACCTGTTTGAAGGGCGAACACGTGGTTCACTAGAAAAATTAAAAAAAAAAAACTGATCAACAGTTTGGAGCTCGAGAAAATTACATCAATAAGCTTCTAAGGACTCAGTTTCGAAAGCTTTCTCAAAGTGTTGCTTAAGATTCAGAGCTCTATGGGCCCTATGAGGGCAACGACAAACTACTAAAAGTTAAAAAATTGTTGACACATCTCTCGAATGTGGAATATTTTTGTGACGACTCAAAACGTAAAAAGGATTCCACTATCAAGCAATTCTCTTAATAAACTAACATAAAGATACAAGCAAAATTTGGCTTAAATGATTGTCTACTTTGATGAGATGAAATTTCAAAAGTTATCGATTGCTTGTTCCCTGGTCAAAGGATTCCTGATTTTTACTGAATTAAAAAAACCCCTACCTCAACTCTCGTCCGCACACCTCGCACGTGAAACAAGCTCTGTGGTACGTGGAATCGTTGACCGTATATCGTTCCTCGTTATCGTACATTGGGAGGCGACAATTCGCACAGAGACCTGGAAAATAATTCAAAATTTATTTAGTTAGGTTCTAAAGCAACCTTGAGGCCTTTATTTCTAGACCGATTTTGAATACCACTTTACAATACTGTACACCGAACAGTCACGCATCTAGAGATCAAGTACATGCACTGCATGATTTTTCAGATCCCACTAGCCACGAATCATGACACCTTTCACTTAAAAGGTCCGCATGCTATTCCCTCGGGGATGAGAAGTTTCTTGAAAAAAATAGCTCCTGCGAAAATCGTTTTGAATATCCTCCCCATGAAAGAACTCTGCGAGCAAGCATGCACTCTCTGCCAGCATAGAGACCCTTTTTCAAAAGTCTTCCAATCTCCAAGAGGAAGCATACGGTCCAAGCTTTGCAGGCAACCAAACGGTCACAGTATACATCTGACTTACCGTAATGTCGAATGGCCATACCTGAATTCCTAGGTATCGTGCATTCATTCTCTACCACACAGCCCTATAAGACTACCTCTTGCAATTGAAAACTGCTTTGTGAACTGCACCGCCGGATACCAGTGACTCTTGAGTAAACTGAAACTCCCATGTCCCCCCTCCCCACAAATCCAAATGAAACGACAAATCCCGTCACCTCAATTGGTGCTATCCCACTCATTCGACCCTAACAAAGGATCCGGTCGCAGCTGCTCCGCTGACCTTCTCCAACTCTACGATCTGTACACACCTCAGCAACTCGGCTCTATCCCTCCGCCGCCACCATTCTCCATCCTCGATCCCGCCATTTTGTTCGTCCACCGGCGGCCTGAAAATATCACTTCTTGGAACGGTCAAGATGAAAGCCAGCGCTATATTGTTTCCAGAAATTGAAGTATTTGAACTTCTTATAGAGAAACACACCTGAACGCTGGCGGTTTGCCAGCAGGCAGCTTTTTATCGGTCAGCCGAACCTGCTGCGTCAGCCCAACACCGTAGCTGGGAGAAGAGCTGTTTTCTGCTGGCTTCGCTGAGTATCTTTCGCAAGGCCAGATCGGTCCCTGTCTCGCCCTTCTGTGACTGCAGTCCCATGTCGTCATTGGGCTTCTTCGAGAACCGATCTGTTTGCGCGCCGTTCACATTGATTCTAGTCGTCAAATCGGCCTTCAGCGGGCTGTCTGATCGCTGAGAATCCGGTGGAGAGGCTTGCGAGCGATAGATGGACGAGTAATCGGAGAACGATGACTGACTGGGTGGAGTAGGCGACTTTTGACTAGAAGCAGAGGAGTAGTCCGAGTATTTTCGTTCGTGGCTGGTTGTGACGGTCAGCTCCCCTGAGGGGGATGGAAGTGAGTTTGTCGCCGAGTCGCTGCGCTAAAAATGAGGCAGTCAGGAAGGATGCATCAGGGGAAGGCTAAGTGGCGACTTACAGTTCCAACGTCTTCATCACTCCCAGTGTAGGTGTGAAAGCCATTGCTCTTCGGGATCGAGTCGGCAATCTTTCTCGCATACTCTCGTGCACTTTCGGCCGTCTCGTGCTGATTAAAGCCATTTACTCGTGGACGATTCACCGACAATACCTAAACACGACTTGTTACCAACAAAAGCCTCAGTGTGGCAGCCAATTCGCCCACAAGTAAGAAACCCTGGGTCTTTGATGACGATGGTTCGGTCGGCTTGTAAGCCCTCTACTCAACATCCACTCATAGACTTCCAAACACATCACATAATTAACAGGGAGGGTCACTCAGGACATGGAGAGTTTCTACGAAATATAGTTTTTTGCATGTTGCAGAGGCTCATGCGAGGAATACAGAACATCATGGTCATGGTCCATTTTTCCTGAACGCCTTCCAGGAATGTCAAAACAGCGGGAAGAAATGGTCCAAAGTTCGATCCTCCGTGATGACAAATTTTTGCAATTTATGTTGGCGCCTCCAAATTGCCGCAAAACACGACAATGACATCTATTCTCGACGATGGCGCCATTTGGCGGCAATCTGGGGCGCCAAACTATATTGCAAAAATTAGTCATCACCGGGGATCGAACTCTGGACCATTTCTTCACCACTGTTTTGACATTCCTGGAGGCGTTCAGGAAAAATGGATCATGGTTCTGTGTTCCTCGCATGAGCCCTACAACATGCAGAAAACCTTTTCAAAAAGACGCTCCATGTCCTGAAAGACCTCCCATGTAAGAAGCACTGCAGAATTGACTCTATTTTCACCATTCCTCCAATACAGGCAGCAGCTGTTGCAGTTCTCCCCACTCATTCACCCTGGGGGTGGGGTAGCGCTTGGAAGAAAATGGGGTTTAAACTCCGCCCAGGCCAAAAGTGATCACATCTTAGGCCGATGTCATAGTTTGCGAATCGAGCGATTCGCTAGCGAATCGCTGGATCCGAGCGTTGCGCCAGCGAATCGAACTTTGCGCCAGCGAGTCGAACTAGGTACCAGCGACTCAATAGTGGCGGGACCCAACGTTTAAAGGAAGCCCGCCACTTTCAAACAGTGTCCACTGCAAAGTCCCGCCACTTTCAAACAGCGTCCACTGTCACGTGACACTGTTTGAAAGTGGCGGGCTTCCTTTAAACGTTGGGTCCCGCCACTATTGAGTCGCTGGTACCTAGTTCGACTCGCTGGTACATCGTTCGACTCGCTGGCGCAAAGTTCGATTCGCTGGTGCAACGTTCGATTCGCTGGCGCAACGCTCGGATCGAGCGATTCGCTAGCGAATCGCTCGATTCGCAAACTATGACATCGGCCTAGGTAGATTGAGATGGAGTTTGTCAAGTAGTATGAAAACACTTAAAGGCAGGGATTACGGTAGATCTAAGAAGGTCTAGAGGAGACGTAGTGGTGCTCAATGGTACGCCAGTGGCGAAAAAAACACAGAAAAAATCCGTCAAGAAAACGCAAACGCGGACCCCTTTTTTGGCCGCGTTGGTTTTCACTCATGAACAGGTGAACACTTCAGAAAGCGGACTTATGAAACAGTTTAGCACGAACGCGTTCCGGTGGTGCCATGCCATATCATGCTCCAATCGAGTTGCTCCATTGTGCCGCTGCTGGCAACGCAGCTCGTCCAAATCACCGAACAAACTAGTGGGCGGATCGCTTTTGGGGGCGGAGTGCTTTCGAAGTCCTGCTCAGCAACCAGCGCACCTTTGTCGTGAAAGCGCCACACCTCGCGCTAAAACCTCTCTCTCGCAACCAAATAACGATTCTCGTGTGTTTGCATATGCTTCCCTCATTATCGTACCCGCTGACTTAAACATCACAAGTACATTGGGTTATGAACAAAACTTTTGACTCGACGACTCCAATCCGCACCTCTCGCTTACCGGGTATGCACTACAAATTGGTAATAAAACAAATAAAAACTCGAAAATCGGTCTCCTATCCCGGTCTTCTCTCAAGCCATCACGTATCAAGTATGCTTTGAATGTTGATAATACAGAACAGTACTCGGGTACATACCGTAGCAACCATCAATATATTCTGAATATTTTACATTTGCCCCACTTCGAGGCAGTACATATTACAAAATGGATAAAAAATTACGAATAATTAGCTAATGCTTTAGTTCAGAAATTTGAGAAGTCTCGCAGAAGAAAAGATGAAAGAGAATTACAGTGCTCACATCATTACGCCACTTCTGAACGTCAGCTTCACGAATTTGTTGGCGATGAGAGCTTTTCAGATCGTTTCCCAGTTGAACCATTCCCTGTTCGGATGGCGCCAACATTTCGCCACGAATTCGCTGAAAACGCATTTACCATTTGTGTTAAATGGGCAGAAAACAACAATCAATTCATGGTATCGTTAGCCTTGAAATCACAATGCGTATAACAAGTCCAGTTTACTATGCAGTTACAATGGCAGTTTCACTTAGCGATTAGCAATTTTCTTCGTCGTGTTCGATCTTTAACAAAAACCACTTCGCAATCAACTTTTTGCACTAGGTTCCAGTGAACCAAGCAAGAATTTACAACGCCCAAAATCGAGCACTGCCAGCGCTATTCACGGCTCGTTGATAATGAAGGAAAATCTGCGCGTAGGTAAAGAAATGGTGACTCTTATGGTTAGCGCGAAGAAGACCTTGAACAGTTGGAAAAAATACCTTTGGAGGCAACCATGAGCTCATGAAGTCGAGACTCAGGGAGGTGCCACAAAAAAGCGAACGGCATGGGGTTATTTATTTAGTCATTTAATTATTTAATTACTGATTATTTAGACGCTATAAGGTGGCACTGTGATGACAGTGCTTGAAAACCGCGTAAAACATATTTTGTTAAAACGGGACTAAGCCTTAGGCGGGGGTGGAGAGACTTCAAGGCAGGGTCAACCGTCCGTTGGACAAAGTCCAACGCGACGACGAGAGTAATGCCGAGAGTGAACGTACGCACGGAGACACAGACGGCTCGCGGGTGGCGAGAGTGAATGCCGGCGCGGAGAGCGGTGAACAT